GAACCCCTCCTTAGATTTACCAAGGCCATCTTTGAGGTGAGCCCTGAATCTGCAATTTTACATACACCTTCGGTAACTATGGTACACTGTACAGTTTGAGGAGCTCTGCTTTAAAGTGATTGATTTACCATGCTAAGCAGTGACCAGAGGAATAATAGAGAGAAGAGTGTCGAGGTTAAATTACAACTAAGATAAATACAGAAAAGTAAAGTCACCTTTAATCCTATAATCATAAAATGTTGGTATTCCTTGTTAACATGCTCGTAACTATTCTTCCAAATCTGCTTTTATGCCACATGCATTAATTTTTTCATAACAAAATATGAATGCACACTTATATTCTGGTGTAATTGACTTCATGAACCTAATATATCTTTTCATAAAGATGCTCATTCTTTATTCCGTGGACAGCTGATGAGGATGCAGAGGGACGGAGGGATACAGTGCCCAGAGGGAGATGTCATCAGATCAGGATCTATGCTTTTAATAAACAGAGGAAGTATTGTTGGACGATGGATGGGTGACATAATAGAATTAGAAACATATTTTATTTTGGGACAGAGTCAGGTATTCTCTGATTGGTGGATTTCTGGAAATAAACACAACTTGTGCCATGAATTTGCCTTACTGGATGAAAGGATCATCTAAAAAGCCAAGCACAAAGAATTTTCAAACGAAAAGACAAGGTAAGCAACTGTTAAAACACGATGCTGATTCGAATAGTATCAGCTTTTGTCCATTGGCTTTCTCAGAAAACCTAGCTCCTTGCTTGCACCACAAGGCGGCTGAAGGAAGAGGAGAGCCAAAATCTGACACAGTAAGTGTATCCATGTTAATATTTTGAACATCGTGTTGGAAGATTTCAGCTTTCTCTTGGCTCCTGTAGCTATTGAATCCTTAAGACTTCACACTGCTTTTTTCATAGTTGGGGTGTTTAAGGATACAGACGTGCCAGATTTAGCAAACAAAAATGTAGGACTTCCAGTTAATTTGAATCTGGGGCAAATAATAAATTTTCAGTCAAAGTGAGTGTCATGCAACACATGTAGGACCTTGATACTAAAATTTTTCTGTGGTTTCTCTAAAATTTCAATTTAGCTGAATATCCTATATTTTGTCTGGAAGCCTTATTTGGGTCGCTTCCTCTGTCAGAGGGAGAGGAAAAATGTTGGGGCAAGATTATAATTGGAAGCAAAAGCCTGCAGTTAATTGAGGAGTGATGTAGATTTCCATTAATAACATCTTTCTGCATTTTAGAAGTGTTTCCCCAGGAGAAAAAGAAAATGACTGTCTGACACCAGCTCCTGAAAAACAGTAGGCAGTGAATCCAACTTTCATTTTAGATCACAGCAGCCAATGTCTTCTTGTTCCTTGCTTGTTTGTGCAGTTGGCCATGGGAAAGCCCTGGTTGTCCGACTCACAGGAAATTTTCCTTATCCATCTGACTTGAGATACAACTTTCAGGTAATGATGCAAGAGTATGCTTGGGGTTGCTACCTCCCAAATTCATGTACACTGGGGCTGTAGAGGACCATATCCAGAAGGGAGTTGATGATCCGGCAGGCAGTGGTCCTTAGACACGGTAACTAGTAATTTTAGTTGATAATGAGTAAGCAGAGGAGAGAAATGGGAGCCCTGAGTACCAGCAGAAATAAGATAATTTACTCAATTTGTTTTCCTGGAAGCCCAGACTTTATGTCAAGATTTTGTAATAAAACTAACCGAGACACTCACAATTCGACTCCATAAAAGGCTTAATCACATTGTTCTGCAACAGCCTTTCTCTTTATGGGGTATTTACCAGCTTCTTAATCTACTTTATTTGATTAGCATTAGAAACAACAACTGCAACCTGTGCTGGGTTCTAGTAAAGTGTTGGATTAAAGTTAGTAAGGACAATAGATTTTCTTTAAGAGCTTCAACTATAACAGTCTCGAGCCTTAAGTAGCAGATCATGCTTTTATAGTTCTATTTCTTGAGGAAAAAATTCTACAAAGACAGAATGTATAACTACTTAAGGAAAGAAAAACACTTCAACAAACAGTCATTGTTGCTCTCAGACAACAGATTGTCACAGTTGATCTTTCTGGGCTTTTCATCTGTCTGTGTGCTTATAATACTTATTTAAAAGAAATATAAAGTGAATTATTTGTGAGTAGCAAATGTCTGGATGATGTCACGTTGTAAAGAACAGTTACTCAAATCTATTTCCAAGAGGGATTCAGAGCTTCTTATAAATAGATCCCCAAAACTCCTGGGTGGGTGGAAGGCCTTTAAAGTCTACCAAAAGTTCTGTTAGTCTGGTAAGACAGATCCTAACCACAGGCAGCCAGGCAAAGGCACTTATTGAAAACACAATATCGCTTCTGAAATTGACTCAGAATGATCACATCCTACCCAGGCCTCATCATCACTTGATTTTTCAGGATTCTCCATCAAAATGATGTCTCACACCTACTTTTTAAAAAAATTAGTTTCATTTAAACACCCTATTTTTTCCTGCTGTTGTCTCTAGGGAGTTTCCAACATTCTTAAACAGCTACACAGGTCTGAGGTGAAGTTTCCACTTGTCTGCATCAAAACAAGGGAACAGGAAAGAAAAGAGGGCTCATGTGGTAAGCTCTTTCTTAAGCTAGTTTTATTCTGAAACTTTTTTCCTTTTATTTTCTTTTGTTTTGATGGTTAATTAGTCTTGCTTTTATTGAAAGAGTGATATCAGTTCTTTTTGTCTTATATTTCCGATGTTTTTGATGTAGAAAATAAGTATTGTTTACCCTCTGCTGGTCAGCCCACATTTGTGGGTGTGTCTGTGCATACATCATTATGCATATATTTAAGTTCAATGATCAATGAAACTCAAAATATCTGGGAGCCACTATGACTTGTTTACTGTGTCATGAGATGGTATATTAGTTAGCTAGGCTGTCCTAACAAAACACCACTGACAGAAAAACAAGCAACAGAAATATTTTCTCATAGTTATGGAGCCTAGAAACTCAAGATCAAAGATGCAAAGGTTTGATTTTCTGTGTCCTCACATGGTGTTTACTCTATGTAAGAACACGCTTGATTCTCTCTACATGTTCAGTTCCCTCCTCTTAGAAAGATAGTGTTCAGATCAGAGTAGCGCCAACTCTTAACACCTCCATTTTAGCATGATTACCATTTTAAAGGCCCTGCCTCTAAATATGGTCACATTCTGATGTACTGGGGCTAGAATTTCCACATGCCAATTTGAGAGGGGCATAATCCAGCCCACAGCAGGTCATATTCTAGCCTTGAAGACAACATATTACAGTGGAAATAATCAAGAACCCAGAATCACATAGACAGGAAGAAGATTGTGATACAGCCCTTTCCTGCCCCACAGGAATTAAACTTTCTGAGATTAAGCTTCTTTTTCTGCGTAACTAAGATAATGGCTACTTCAGAGTTGTCAGATTAAAGCTCCTAACCTAACACATGACGCATGGTGAGTTCACAAAAGACAGTCACTGTCGATTCCTTTACACCTGCTTTTACTCTCATAACTCAGAATGAGTAACAGAGATAAGACACCAGCAAGTAGTTACATTAGAAATATGAAGTGAGGGAAGCATTGGCACAGAAACTTGGAAGAAACTGCATCAGGCAGGGCTAATTCTGGAAGACTGATTATATCAAGCACATGGAGGGTTAGGAAGCCTTAGAAAGGGAAGGATTATTGAACAGGTCCTAATCGAAAATACAAGGGAGAACTCTCACTACCTGTATGAATGATGCTTTTATGCTGTACATAGGTGTTGAACAACACTCACTTTTCTTCCAACTATTTCAGTCTTTCTGGTTATATCCAGATGAAAGTCTCAGTTTGTTCTACATTGCCTTTAGAACTCATTTTAACAAAGACCAGGCTATGAAGGCACTGCATGAGGGAACAAGCTCATATGATGATTTAAATTTTTTCCCGTTACTTTATGGTTACATTTTATTCCATTTACACTGACAATATAATATTTATAAAAGCAAATTTAAATTTTAAAAGGAGACAAAACTGCGATGGTAATAGTAACAATATAGATTGCATAGTACTATAATAGGCTGTTATTACAGTGGTCCAACCATGTGTGAAATTTAGGAAATACTGGTGTAGCCTGTGCCTCTCATAGGAGACCAATTAATAAACTAAGGCTAGGAAGAAAAGGTACTCTCATAAAATCACACAGCTAGCTGTTATTAGGACTGAAGCTCAGTTCTCATATGGCCTTCCTCATCTATCTAACCTCATCAGACAACAAATTTTAGATGGTTAAGATGAAGATAAACTGAATGTAAAACTACCAACAGACTGTGTGGGGTTTGTTAGGAAGACGCTGGTTCAATAAGGCTTGCCTGTATTATAAGAGAGGACAAGAGAAGACAGACTTCTCTAGCACCTGATGCTGGTGACCTAAGGTCTTATGAGGTCTAGCATAATAACTCAGGGTACCATGTCAAGTCCCTGGGCCAGCGCCAAAAGTTGTAGTAGCAGAGATTTCTCTTAGTATCAAGCAAAGATGGCTTGAATCCCAGCTTTTCCATTTGGCAAGAAATCACTGTATCTCTCAGCTTATCTGTATTCTACTCGTCTGAAAAAATGTATAAGAATGATAATAGCAAACGTTTATGGGGGCATTAAACCTGCCAATCACCTCTGATGAATTATCTCACTTAACCCTCAAAATAACACTTCAAGACATTATTATCATCCCATATACTAAGTGAGGGCATTTTTTCTTTGAATGGATACATGGTTTATCTTTACACAGACGAAGGAGTGGTGGAAATAGGTTTCAAACCCGAACAGAGTCAATCCAGAGTCTAGCCTTAACCCCAGCACTTCACTGTGAAAAAGGCCAGCACAAAGGTGGCAGAAAAAGTTAGCACCTGGGACTACAATTCCCAGAATGCCACGGGAGAGAAAACGCTGCTGCAAGCAGAGACGCTAGCCAATCAGGAAGCCCAGCCCGATTTTCCCGCCCTCTCGCCCCACCTAGCGGTGAGTCCATTGCCTGTTGGCCTGCTGGTTCTGTTCTCATAGGTCTGTGCGCAGGGAGGGACACTAGGCTTTCAGTTGAGGGGTAGGAGGTGAGGAGTGCTCAGGTGTCCTCAGTCACCCGGCAGGCTGCGAAGGGGCGGCGGGAGGGACCGGCCTTCTCCACAGGCCGCTTTCCCGAGCCAATGGGGAGGGCAAGGACCGTGGAAACTTCCAGGCCGCCTTAGGCCCTGCCTACCGGGCTGAGCTGGTGCTTGCGCCCCCAGCGATCTGGAGGTCCAGGGAGGTGTTCCTGGGGCCGCGAGGAGAGTTTGGCCTTCTGAACCGAGTCTGCCTTGGGAGTTCTGTCAGGGTTGGGCTTGAACCCTGTGGGCAAGGGTTAGCGCTTTAGTGGCATCGTGCCTTCTTCAGTCTGTTGTTGGCTTCTGGCCCCTCTAGTCCTCTGCGCTCAGGACGCGGTCCTTACAGCTCCCATTAAACCCGACTTTTTTTTTTGTTGTTGTTTGTTTGAGACGGGGTCTCCCTGTAGGCCCAGCTGATCTGGAACTTGGTATGTAGACCAGGCTGACCTTGAATTCACAGAGATCCGCCTGCCTTTGCCTGCTGAGCGCTGGGATTAAAAGCATGTTCTGCCATCCCAGGCTTTAACCATAGTTTCAGTGATTCTGCTGAGCTACTTGGAGAAGGCTTGATCCAGCTTTGGCCTGTGCTGGTCCAGCAGCGGCGGGATCCAGACACTTTAAGCCTTCTGACCCTCACCTACGTTTTGAACCAAAGGAAATTTCTTGGTTTATTAGGTCACTTTTGTGTTTGATCTTTATCTTTTACACTTCTTTTTAAATATTATTTTATGTGTATGAATGTATTGCCTGCATGTCTGTAAGTGCACCAGTGCCTATAATGCTCACAGAGGTCAGAAGAGGGTGTCAAATTCTCTGGAACTGGAGTTACAAACAGTTGTTAGACACTGTGTGGATGCTGGGAACTGCACCCGAGTCCTCTGCAAGAGCAAGTGTTCCTGACCCCTGAGCCATCTCTCCAGCCCCTCTTTTACCCTTATTCTTTACAGTCATCTTTCCCTTTCCCTCAAACCTGAGTCTTTGGTTTGGCATGCCCAAGTAAGATTATTACTGATATTCTTGTTTGAGTATACAGGGTCTTAGAAGTGTATGCAAAGTGTTTTATTCATTAACATCCAGAAAACAAAATTATTTCTTTTACAGTTGATCTGAAAGGAGTGAGGAAAAATTGGAGAAATGACTGGGATTCAGGAAAAGACAGTGATTGACCCAATGGTTCGTTTGCTTTTGATATTCTGGACAAACAGGCCTGACCCAGACCTACCCTGCTTTTACACTGCAGGGTTGTCTGTGCTAACAGTGGTTTATTTTTTGAAGTCATTTTGAGAGACTTGAACAGCTTAAAGGTTAATTTCTAGTGAACCACTTCTTTGAATACATACTTGGTTAAATGTATGCAGTGTACTAAATATAACACAATAATGTGCTACTTTGTACATTTCAGTTAACCAAAATTAAAATGTGTTTTGCCATAACTCTTAAAGTAGTTAGCCATTTAATCAATGAATTATAGTCAAATCATATTTTAGTTTTCCTGTGTACTTAAATTATAAGTGTGCACTGTCATTCAAGAATAAGTTAGAAACATTAAATTAGCATAAAATAGGGAGGACCCTACACAGTTGTTAAGTTGTAGTTTATTGATGTTGAGGATTTCTGTAAAGGGAACTCTTGTTTCCATTGTAAAGGCCCCATCCTGTAGACATGGTTTGATTGAAGATGAAACTTTTCATCCTACGAACTTCATTTAGAGTTGTTTTCATCTGGAAAAAAACATAAAACAGGCTGGTGTATTCCTAGGTTCTAACCAGCTAGAAAGACTCACATTTATTTATTTTTTTTTTTAGAAATTACCTAAATTATTTTTATTACTTTATTATTTTTGTTTTATGTGTATGAATGTATTGCTTGCATGTAGGTCCACCTGTGTCATGCAAGGCCTGCAGAGGTCAGAAGAGGGCATCAAATTCCCTAGAACTGGAATTATAGGTGGTTGTTAGCCACGATGTGGGTGCTGGGAATCAAACCCAAGTCCTCTACAACAGCAGCCAATGCTCTTAACTGCTGAGCCAGCTCTCCAGCCCCCTAAATTAATTTTTAAATACACATATTTCTTTTAAAATACTTTAATACTAATTATCATTAATGTATGTTTGTGTGTATGTACCACACTACATGTGAGCAGGTGCCTGCAGAGGGCTGAAGAGGGGTCAGATCCCCTGGAGCTGGAGTTACAGGCAATTGTGAACTGGCTGACATGGGTACTGGGAACCAACCAAACTTGGGTCATCTGAAAGAACAGCAAGTGCTCTTAACCGCTGAGCCGTCACTCCAGCTTCCACATAAATAGTTCTGATCTGTGCATAGTTTTTGTCTCTTTTTTACAATCAGATGCTTAAGAATGATAATCCTGACCATAAGCAAAAGGTGGAAGCCATCATTAAAAACATTAACACAATTTCTCTGGAGATGAAGAAGATGAGAGGTAAGTATGTTATCACCAAATCAAAATGCTTGCATGTCATTATTGTAAAATAGATGGTAAAGCTAATTTGTGCTTGGGCTGGGATGTATTTTTCCCACTAATTGTAATTTCTCTATTAAGAAGTGTTGGTAATGAAATATAAACTAGATTTCTAAAGATGAATTAGATTTGAGCATTGGTCTGGGAGTCAGTGGGCCTAACTTCCTATTTCTGATACAACAAGTTTATCGTGTCTCTAACATCTCTAAGTTTACCTTTCTTCCTTCTCTTCAACATGCTGTTATCTGACTACAAAATTCAGTGTCTTTATCCATGAATCCTTACTAAACCCCTAAAATTATGCCAAATTAAGAATTAAAAGTTTGATTCTAGCCAGGCGTGGTGGCGCACACCTTTAATCCCAGCACTTGGGAGGCAGAGGCAGACGGGTCTTAGTGAGTTGGAGGCCAGCCTGGTCTACATAGTGAGATGTAGGCCAGTTAGAGATACCGGGAAACACTTTCTCAAAAAGACAAAAAAAAAAAAAAAAAAAAAAAAAAAAAAAAAAAGTGAAGGGTTCTTCATTTAAAATATATTCTTAGAATAATAAATTTTATAGACCATGGTGTTTAGTCACTCATAGATAAACTAATCATTATTTTATCCTAAAATAACAGAAATATTTCTGTGAATGACTATTTCTAGGGATAATCTATCTCTGAGCAGCATGCCAAACTCCCTTTCTTATCCATCAACCCATTCCATTTGAGACAGGTCCTTATGGATCAACTGAAAACTGTCCCCCTATTCTCTGAGTCCTATCACTAGCCAGGAAAACGATGTCAGATGTGTAGTCATTCTTACAACTCCATGTTCACACACAATTCTGTGTCACATATAAACCTACAGCTGCAAGTAACAAAATGCCAACTTTGTGTGACATACACCAAAAGGGGTAACAGGCCCTGAGTGAGGCAGCTCTGAAGTTAATCCAGATGTCTAAAGACTGCCTCAGCAGCCAGGGGCCTCCCTCCTTCTGGTGTGTCACGTTTACTGGCTGCCGCTCATCGTTATTCCTGAGGCAGCCACACACAGGCATGATGATTTCTGCCCATAATATCTATTCATAATGAGCCTTTCTCCAGACACCTCTAGCAATTCCATTTTCCTTTCATTGGCCAGATTTTCTTCCTATTGAGATGCCTACAGTAGCCACAGCCAGGGAGAATGGGACTGCCAAGACAAGTGTGGTCCACCAAGAACTTACTGCTAGGACTGGGGAGCAAAGCCCCAAGAAGAGACTCTTGGTTAGGCACAGATAAGGAACCCCTCTCCTACTTTTACCACGTATTCTCCCTAGAGTAGCATTTCCCAAACCTTTGTCTGTGAGCCTGTCTCAAGAGGTGTTAAAAGACAGTTTGCAAACAAAACAGAGCCCAGCTTTTACAGTCAGGTGAGCCTGGAAAGTGCTAGAGAGAACTAGAGTGCTCTATATTTCTCTTACAAATTCACAGTGCACGTATTTGTGACTTTTAAGAGTGTGATGTAAAATCTGTCTAGCTTTGTTTAACTTATTGACTCCCCAAACCAGTATCAATACCACAATGAAAATACTCTTTCTAAAATGCGAATCTGCTGAAAACTTCCTGGGCTCACTGTTATCCTCAGGAGAAAATCCAAAACACCTACAAGGAACTAAACTTTCTGAAAGGTGCCTGATCCCCAGCATCATCCTCCCACAATGAACTAAACTTTCTGGAAGGTGCGGCTCCCCAGCATCACCCTTGGTTCCCTGGCCCTGTAGTGTTCTAGCCACACTGGTCCTTTACATGTCCGTTCATGCTCTCTTTTTTATTTTAAAAAAAATTTTATTTATTATTTCTATTTTATGTGTATGATTGTATTGTCTGCATGTGTGTAAACACACCTGTGTTGTGCAGTGCCCATGGAGGTCAGAAGAGGGTGTTGGATCCCCTGAAACTAGAGTTACAGACAGTTGTTAGCTGCTATGCGGATGCTGGGATTTGAACCCAGGTCCACTGCAAGAGCAGTCAGCGCTCTTAACCGCTGAGTCATCTCTCTGTCCCCATCATGCTCTCTTTGGTGTCTGAACCTGAGTACCTCAGTGAAATCCCACTGCTCTACTGCAGCTCCTCCTTACCAGGTTGACTGCCAGTTATTAGTTGAAGTCACTTAAATTGGAAAACTTTTGTGGAGCTGGCTTCTTTCCCTTCCACCTTCCATGTCACCTCTCACACTGTGTTGTGATTGTGTTTCTTTTCTCTGTTCAATCTAAGTGTTCCTAGCCCTTAACACAGTCTCTTGGAATAATAGATTCTTGGAAAATGTTTATTAGATGACTAAGTGGTTCTAGATACTCGAACTCACTTAGAGTAGATTTAGATTCCTTGTAGATTTGATTATCTAATTGTTCCACTTTGGAAAGCATTGCATGAAGTTACACAGAAATAATAACTGTAGAGCTGGGCATGGTGGCACATGTCTTTAATCCCAGCACTTGGGAGGCAGGGATAGGTGGATCTCTGTGAGATCAGGCCAGCTGTGGCTACAGGGAGACCCTGTCTCAAAAAGGGAAAAAAAAAATAATAAATTTGTAATAGACACATTCCTGAAGAGGTCAGGCAGTAATGATACGAGGGCCTGTAGAAGTTTATTTAGAAAAGAATTAAATATCTACAGAGGATTAAATGAGCACTCCATTTTCCCCACTCCCTCCCAAAATAATAATGCCAGATGCTAACACTGAATTTTCCTTAATCCTGCCACTCTTCTAAGAGCTCTGTGTATGAAGTTGGAACTATTTCCATTGGCATTTACAGATATGTAAATAGACATAGGAAACTGCCCATTGTGCACAGAGCCATCCCTGAGCATGTGGATCTGGATTGTATAAGAAGGCAGGCTGAGCACAGGCCAGAGGAGCGAGCCAGTAAGCAGTGTTTCTCCATGGTCTGTGCTTCATCTTCTGCCTCCAGGTTCCTGCCCTGATCTCCGGCCCTGACTCCCCTCCAGGATGACCTGGAAGCTGAGGGTGAAATGGACTCTAAGAGTTGGTTTTAGTCTGTGTTTTATCAGAGTAATAGAAAGTAACTAGAACAATCATGTTAATCAAAAAAAGCCAGACAGGACAGATATTACATGTTTTCTCTCAGGCAGACTAGAAGGAAATTTATATCTGAGCACTGAGGACGTGGAGTGGGACATGAAGTAGAAAGCAGACTTTTGTCAGCTTAAAATAAATTTTTAAAAAACACAAGGGCCAGGATGTAGCAGTGGTAGAATGCTTGCCTAGCATTCATTCGCAAGGCCCTAGTTCAGTCTGTAGTACTTCACAAGTAAATGCAGCAGGAAAGGGGAGACTTGGAGCAATAGAGGAGCTAAACTGAGTAAAGAGAAAGTTACTCAACTAGGGGACATTTGAGATAGCTTTCTGATGAACAATGAAAAAATAAAATACTTATTAACTATGGTTGAGAGGTAGCCTGCAAAAAATGTATGTAATACACTCAGCTGTGAAGAATTTAAATTTAAATTTAAATATAAATATTGAGTTAGCAAAACCTGCCTTCTAGTATATTGGGGGGAGGTAGGGAGTCAGTAAAAGAACACTGTCTTTAGTCAGAAGCATATAATGATTGTCCTAGTTTGTCTCTCCATTGCTATGACAAAACATTCTGATCAATACCACCTTGGAGAGGAAAAGGTTTATTCGACTTACATCTCCCAGGTTACAGTTTATCGGGGAGCCCAAGGTAGGAACTCAGGACAGGAACTTGGAGGCAAGAGCTGGAGCACAGGCCATGGAGGAATGCTGCTTACTGGCTTGCTCCCCTGGCCCCTTCTCAGTCTGCTTTCTTATGCAACACAGGCCCACCTGCCCAGGGGTGGCACCACCCCCGGTGGCTGGGCCGTCCCACATCACTCAACAATCAAGAAGGTGGGCCATGGACATGGCCACAGGCCATGAAGGAAATTCCCCAATTGAGGCTCCCTCAACCCAGGTGTGTCAAGTTGACACTAAAACTATCCAGCACAATGATAAAAATTGAAAAAAAAGAAAATCATGCCCTTAGAAATGTATAGAGAAATGCTAATAACTCTTCTTTCCCCCTCAAAGAAAAAATAAAACAAACAGGCCTCAAAGACAAAACCACAGGCACACATGAAACAAAAGAAGCAAAACAAAAATGAGAGGCGGGGAAAAGTTGGAAACAGCTGCCTGGGGGAACCAGGAACTAGACACTTCTTATAGATCTGGTTCTTCACACTATATACATGTATAGCTTAGATAACTAAGTCTAAGATTTACCAGATTTGCACAGGTTGAATGTAGGAAGGTAGTTGAGTAAAGCTCAAAGCTTTTTAGTCAATTTTCATATTAACCTATGAATTTAAGTAAAAATTTAAGTACACCTAAGGGGTGGCTCGATCGGGTAAACATTTGAAAAAAATTAATTAGAAATTAAGAAACTGCTCCTTGAAGCAGTCATGATTACTTGTGAAATCTGTGCTGTTAAATAAAATAAAAGAAGGAACAGCTGCAATTGGTCCAGAAAGGGGGCTGACACATAATTCCTTTTAGGTATGAGATTTATTAGAATGAAAGGGCCTCAAGGCCATGGTTAGACCTCAGGGTGGGAGGGAGAGCATGAGACAGAAACAACACACTACATGGAGAGCTAAACATGATGAAAGAAGCCTCCCCTTCCCTTTGAAACCTGGAGAGAATCACAAGGGAGAATGAGGAAGAAACAGAGGGTGGGGAGAAAGGCAGAGAGAGAGTTAGTGGCAGAGAGCATGGAGGGGCAGGCACCATAAAGTGAGGGCTGTCAAGTCACAGCACAGGCTGCTTCTCAACTCTGTCCACAAAGCGCTGCTGTGAGGAGGTGTGGTGGGATCCGGCCCCAAACTGCAGGCCTGTGTTCCAAGTGTCACATTCTAGCTTCTGTTTTTCTGTTTTACTCAGAGCTCTCAGAGTTATTGCTCTGTGACCTCAATCTCCATTTTGGCCAGCCCATGAAGACAGAGGACCCAGAAGAAACACAAACAACCAATCTTCTGTTTCAAAAGCCTAAAATACCAGATGTAGCTCTGGCTTCTCTCAATTTTTCAGACTGATTTTTGTGTTGTTTAACTTGAATTTCTGTTTTTGTTGAGTTAAAAATATGGAAGAACTGAGTTTATTACTGTAATTAAAAATAATAAGAGTTGGATGTAAGCATTTCACAGTCTTGAAAGCTGTTTTCATGTCTCAAACGGTGATTTATTTAACTGACAACAAGATTATGTCCTGGGAAATTGGCCATTGATGGTTGCTTATCTTATTCCTGAATTTGGCTTACATTGACAAAGAGTTATGAAATGATTAATGGACTGTGGTGGTTTGAATGAAAATGTCCCCCATAGGCTCCAAGCTTTTGAATATTTTGTCCCCAGATGATGGCGCTGTTTTGGGAGGTTTTAGAAGGTGTGGCTATTCTGGAGGGAGCACGTCACTGGGGGTGCGCTTAGAGAATGACAGTTGGCGAGGCATTTTTTATTATCATTGGTTGACCATCTCCACATTCCATTTACCATTTATCAGAATATCCTTAATCTTAACCTGGTGACTTCGAAGATCCCTTACAAAACTTTTTGTTGTTGTTGTTGTTGTTTGTTTTTTGATTTTTTTAAAATTAACTCATGAAAATAAAGGTATAGGATATTCTTTTCCACTCAAAAAATCTGTAGATCAGAGAAACTGAAACTTTTTTTGCCAATAAAAGTTACACAGTGATGCCACAGTTCCAAAGGAAAAGGCTTTGGAAGAACAACAGACTGTCTCCAAATAGCAGGTTCTGACACACTGAATATCAATACCCCTATAAATGCTCCTTTGCTTACACTGATGGTGTCTTGATAAGACTTACAGTACTACATTGAAAATACTGAAAAACAAAAATATGTTTCCATGCATAGCCAGCTGAACATCACAGCTCAGCACAGCTCCCCCTGAGCATGCTCAGGCACTGTATCCTGCAGTTGAGCAAAATCATCTAACACAGACTCTATTTTATAGTAAAATGCTGCATAGATCATGTAATTTATTGAATGTCCAGAACCAAAAAAGAAACCACTAGCAACACAGAACACTGTAGAGTACAGTTGTTTCTCCCTGGTGATCATGTGGCTGACAAGAGCTGCAGTGTAAGACTTCAGCCCAGGAAAAGATCAGGATTCAAAATCTGAAATACAGTTTCTACTGAATACAGATCACTTCCATACCATCATAAAGTAAAAAATGATAAACCAGCATAAACCAGGGACCAACTGTACTTTTTTGTTAATTATAAACAGAAGGGAGAGTTGAATTGCTATGAAGGATTTATAAAGCTAGTTTGCAAGGGATGAGAAGGGGTTTCATGACAGACTTGTCAGTGGGATCCCAAGACAGAAAACGGTGCTATGGTTTACATAGGTATTCTCCAAAGGACATGTGTTCAAGGCCTGGGCCCCAGCATGGTACCAGTGGCCAGTGGTGGGACCTTTAGGGGATGGAGCCTAGTGGGATGATGTGGACACATGCATGCCCTTGAAGGGAATTTGGGAGTTGTCTGTCTTTGTCTTTGTTTCCCAGCCACCACGAGGTAAACAGACTTTCTCTGCATGGTTTTATTTTAATATCCTGTTTGTCCCTTCAGAGGCCCAGAGTAGCAGGAGCAAGGGTTCATAGGCCAAAATCTCTGTAATTGAGCAAAAGTAAAGCTTTTTAGTTATTTTAGGCATTTTGCCATGGAAATGAAAAGCAGACTAACACAAGCAGTATCTATTTAATAAGAAAGTTGGATAGAAGTTTTTGTGTATGTATGAAACACTGCTCCTTCATCTTCCCAGGAAACCTTCAGGACAGTCTATATGATAGGAATGTGTTTTATGAGTTATGGGGTGGAGGAGGTGCATCGTGCATGTGCATCTTGGGCGATGGTATGTATAAGGTGCCAACTTAGACTCCGGTGTGTTTGACAGCAAAGATGCATCTCTCAATTTCAAAATGTTTTCTTGTGGTAATTGTAACTTAAATTTGCTTTACATAAAAAATATGACAGTGTGGACTAAATAATAAGGTTGTTTTAGAAATCCAAAGCTAAAGTAAAAGATCATTTTAATCCCAGGAAGTTACCCAGCGTGCATTTATCTTTTCATCAAAAAGCACACAAAAATACCCTCAGCAAAACCAGATAAGAAATAATGAAGTTATATTTTTGAAGCCTCTTAAATTATTGCTGCATGGAGAATAAATTTTAATCATTTCAAGTCATACAAAAAATAGATTGCCTTTCACTGACAGAAGTTTCACTATAAAATATCAGTTTTATATGATAATCAAAACTATTACTGTTTCAGTGTTTTTTTTTAAGTTTGCCCCAAATTATTTCCGTAGCTGTGTAAACTACTACATTTTGAACTGGATACTCGAAAATCCATGTCTCAAAATGAAGGAATGCAGTGCACTTGTAGATTTCAAGCTGAACATGATTATTCCTACACTTTACAAACATTATAGAAAATAAATAAATCATGGGATAGTCAGCAACCTTCAAACTCTTCAAAGGAAAGGACAAAACCCTGTGTTCATGGTGAGGAATTCACTTCAGTCTGCCCATTCCTGGTTTGTTGATCTTCCCATGTTAGTAACCGAGTCAGGAGGAAGGTCATTTGCTTGGCTATCTTGCTATGGACACCCTGCAGCATGTGTTAGTGTGCACTGGTATCTGGAGCCTCGATTTTTTCCATCAATGAGAAGAAGTGGCATTTTCCTGAAGTAGTCAATAATGTCTGACACAGACAGAAAATCCTGGAAAAGAAAAGGCAAATGGGGAGGTAAGTTTGCCTTGGAGGGCAGCATGCATCACAATCTGGTTTTTCTTTTACAATTTGCATCAATCATTACAAAAACTGTGGGGAAAATAAAATTTGTCAAGTATTTTAGAGATTGCTGCTATGAAAACATGAAAAATATTCCTCTTTGACATTCAATAAATCATAATCTTGGACTGGCAAGAAAGCTCAGTGGGTAAAGGCTCTGATCACCAAACCTGATGACCTGAGTTCTATTCCCATGGTGGAAGGAGAGAACTGATCTCACAGGATATCCTCTGACCTCCGCACATGTGCTCACACATGCTGGCATGCGTGTGTGTGTGTGTGTGTGTGTGTGTGTGTGTGTGTGTATACATAAAAATAAGCTTTGTAAAAATAAAAAAATTTAACTTCCTATAATGGATCATTTACCCTAACATTTTAATTATGATACTTTTGGCTTGGTATTGGTCTCTTTGTTCATTTGGGGGTTTTATATTTTTATTTTATGTGTGAGTGTTTTGCCTGCATGTATGTAAGTGCAACGCCTGTGGAGGCCAGGCCAGAAGACGGTGTCAGATCCCCTGGAACTGGAAATATTAGACAATTATTAGCCATCATGTGGATGCTGGGAACCAAACCCAGGTCCCCCGCAGGAGTAGCCAGTGCTTTTAACAACTGAACTGTCTCTCCAGCCCCACTGTTTTTTTGAGGTGTCCCTCTATCCGCAGCTGGACTGAAACTCTGTATGTAGACTACGCTGGCCTCTGCCTCCCTAGTTGGGAGATTAAAGGCATGAGTCACCACACCCAGTTCCAGGGTATCTTTGTTTTTGTTTCTGCTTTTGGTTTCTGTATCCCTACTTTATAATAATCCATACTGTTAGGAGGTGTAAGGAATCAGGAGTCACATCTGGAGGTGATAGTTACTGCATGGTGTAACCATCCCTTTTCTGCTGCCTCCTCCATACTCACAAGGGCTCAGCAGCCAAGTCTTTGAACACATGACCAGGCTCACCCATTCCCTGACAGACAGGCTGGGAAGGCCCCATTCATCCCTCTGGTTGTGGTTTCAAGCAGCCCAGTCAGGACTATGCACTTGTCCCACAACAGATGGCCCAGGTGCCTCCCTCCATGGAAACCTGTGTTTTCATGTTAGACCAAGGGAAATCTTGGAAGGCAACACTCTGCCTCTGCTGAGCCTGTGTAGCTGTGCACAGGAAGCAAGTGACCCAAACTTAATGAAAAGTATGTGTTCTTTCTACTGAGTATCATCACTACTTTATTTGGGGTGAAGTTACTGGTGAATTGTTCTTTCTGTAGATGTTTGATTCCGCTGCTTTTCTCCATATACTGCTAAGAAGCATGTCTTAGGACACTAAGCTTATATTTTCTTTCACAAAGGCAGTCTTGAAGGTTATTTTCACACCAAAAAGTTGACTTGGCCAAATGGGAAATTTTCTTCAACAAGATAGCCATCTTCACAGAGTTAAACCTCTAAATTTAGCAAGAAATGACTCGAGTGTCAATAGTTACTGTAGCAAGTACTCTCGTTGCTCTGCTTTCTCAGATGGGACCTTGAAGTTTTTTATTTATGTGCATGTACGAGGGCCTTCTTGCCTACATGTGCACCACATGCATGCAGGTGCCCAAGGAGGACAGAATAGGGCATCAGAATCCCTGGAACTGGAGTTACAGAGGGTTGTTAGCTGCCTTGTGGTTCCTGGGGAACTGAATCCAGATCCTCTGCAAGAGCAGCAAGTACTCAACGGCTGAGCTCCTCCTCACCCCCTCAGATGGTATTTTAAATAAGACTTTATTACTATAATCTTGCAATAAAATTATGTCAAAGAGGTCAAAATAGAAGATACTGCCTTTGACAAACCTTCTAAATGTTCTTTTTTTTTTCATCATATAATTTTTTTCCCAGACAGGGTCTCCCTATAGCTCCAGCTGGCCTGGAACTCACAACATAGACCAGGCTGGCCTCAATCTCACAGAGATTCACCTGCCTCTGCCTCCCGAGTGCTGAGATTAAAGGCGTGCACCGCCACGCCAGGCATGAAGCTTGAAATCCTTACCTCTTTTCCTCGGAGTCCAGTCCCCAATAAGTATACTTGACTTTCCTCCTGATAACGGATTTGGATGTTGTAAACTTTGTCTTTGTACAACACCATGAGGACATACGGATTGCTTACTGTTTTCTTAGAACTGTCTCTAACCAGGAAAGTTCCATCCTAGAAGAGTAAATTCTTATTACTAATGGGAGCAATGATAGGTCATTCTTTTGCTGCCTGTAAGAGACAAGTCTATAAATTCCCCTAACAGCTACAGACCCCATGTCCCCTGGATCTTTTGATTATCAAGAAAGACAAATAAAATTGTATCAGAAATTTTCAAGTAAA